TATCATACCGGAGGTAGCACAAATCAATGTAGACGATGTTTTAATTTTTTTTAAATGAACTGCATGCCAGTCATGCAAAAAAGACCAAATAAAAACAAATATTAATGGTAGTAGTAATAGCACGAGTAATTCTTGTACCAGTAGTCGCATTAGTAGTAAAGATGAAAGTCTTATTTCTCTGGTCCTGGTGCACTAAAGGTTCAAAGGTAAAAACTCAACCACCGACACTCAATTTTGGCAGTCCGCAGCTTCACTGCCACCCGCTTTTACATTATACCTATCCTACTCTAGCCTTATGCATTTTCATGCTCTGAATAGTAGGCCTTGTGATTATGGTTTCATCGCGTTGATTATGTTAGAAAAACATTATATCAATCTTCAAGAAATTTGCAAAGAAAATTAAGTGACCAGAGCAAAGTCTTAATCATCAAGGTTTGTCACCGACACTATGATCTTTATCATTTTCAGACTGAATTACGCCGGTTTTCGATAATAAAGTCCGGAGTAGAGACAATTGACATTGAAACTGCCCGTGATACAATAAACTCCAAACTGTATTGTAACTTCACATTTTAAATAACTGAAATCAACGGAGTCATTGACCCCCCCCCCGTACATCACCTACGTAAATCATAAAAGCCCTTAGTGTACAGCATTTGCAGTTATTCAAAACAATGAGTTCAAGCAGTGTAAACTAGCTCTGAGCAACACTGAGCATTCAAACTGTTCAAATGCGTAAGAAACATTACGTGGGCGAACAATTACAGAGTGGAACGACCGGCATGCAACATGCGAACCAACTCCGTCGAGGAGAATACTGGAGTACTGTCCTGGTTGGGGACTGGCTCATAGGAGCACCAAGGAGATGGAGAACGGATGGGCGGTGGNAATATATGTAGACCGTTCCGCACGGAGAGCATTTGACTTCCACCCGACGTCCGCTGTTTCCGATCCCCCTGAGCGAGCTGAACTTGACTAATTGATCGATCCTGGGTTGTTTTACTATTCTCTCTCGGTGAGGTTACTGATAGTGTATTTGGGATTATCACTCTTTGATCAGATGAAGCAGCACGCAGAGAACTGAATCGTCTTGAATAAAGCGAATTTGCTGGCATGGATGACAATTCTCTAACAGTGACTCGTTTCGGTGGGGTACGTGTGGAATGGTAAAGTGGGCTGCAATAAAAATTGGAAAATAACGCGGATGCAAGAAACATAATGCTGTGACTACTTCATGCACATGCAAAATGGGTTGGCAAATGACATGCATTCGCGTACCTTGAAACATGCAACATATCCATACTGTAATTAAGAGTAAAGGGGTCAAAGAAACAAGTTATCGACAAATTACAATAGCCCATAAACCGTGCAGTCACCCCACCCCATTAGTCCTGGGATACACACAAACACAAACAAACCAATCACATTACCGTGCTGCTTCAGCCTCCTTTTTCTCCTTTTCCAGCAGAGCCATCACAGCTGGATGCGCTGTCTGACCAGCCTGTGCGTGCATTCCGAAATTGTTCATTAAACCACCTCCATTCGCATAGTCAATTGTGGTTCCGTGCTCGTCCATAATCGGACCACGAATACCACCACCCATCAGGGTCCGACGATCTGGTGTGCGCTTACTGCTCCGACGTCGCGTCCACTCGGTCAGTGTACGACCGAATATACCGCCGGATGTTTCTCGCTGTGCCCGGAGCAAAATTAAACGAGAAAATCAGAATATCGCAAAGGTTTGCCATAACGATAACAGTATCACTAAGAATCTGTGTGAGAGAATCATCTCCTAGTTGACCGACTGCATATGCCAATTACCAAATACGATATCTGTTTTTACATCGAATCAGTTTGCGGGTATGTATTTTCAACCTAATGCGTTCACAGATGAACTGGTTTTACGCAACCGGAACATGAATACATACCGTAATTGAATTAAGTTTCTCGCACGTTAGTATCTCAAGGGGTGAGTGTGGGAGTTGAGTCAATCACACATCACGTTTGAACTAAAATCTCAGTGTAAACAGTGGGAATACACCAAGAGTACAACGGATGTGTGATAGGAGTAGCATCCCTGAGCTCGTGGACTTCTGTGTTCCTTCAGTCACTTCTTTTGGTCTACATCAATGATTCAACTCTTACCTTTGACTTGAAGACGATCAGGCGTACGTTAGGAGTCATACTGGAACAAAATGTTTGACAGATGAACCAAACCCGGTTGAAGGTAGCCAAGGTCTCCAAAGCTCAAGAAAACGATACTCGACTAGATTTACTCTTTAGTGGTTAGACGAGCTTTACTGTCTGATCCAACGGTTGTAAAGAAAATCTGTCCATAGATGGTTGGAGTGCACCGACATTTAACAGATGACGACTAACCTCCTAGGGAGCTACAGACAACCAAGCAACAGCACACAACTGGCCTAGGTGAATACTATGATCAAACAGTCAAGAAAAGCTGGATAACGACGGAGACATTTCTGGAACTCAGTTCTCAGTAAAATTCAGAAACTCCGTCAAACCGATTCATCTTTGTGAAACAGCCAACAGAAGAAAAGTAGAAATAATGTGCTTACATTATTATTTATATTTCACAAACATTATTACTTACTTGTATAGACGTATACATGTAGACATGTTCATCACTTCCGAGGCTTTTCAGTACGGAGTAAAATTTTAATTTTTCGTATCACAAAAATGGTTATTATTCTAAAAATACTGTTTTTCTACTTTATCATCTTAGTCCTGTAGCACAAGCATTCAATCGATGGTGTCTGCACTGCAATTCAACGTGACATCACGGGAATGTACAAAAAGAGCTAGCAAAGGTTCACTTCTACATCACGTGCAGTATGACAACGCAAATACTCAAATGACTGAGAGAATTGGAAAGATGACATAAAGAAATTCAGATGCGTTTTTCACTCAGAAGTAACCCTTTCAACCGCGATCAAACCTGAAAATGTTCAACATCAGAGAATTCCCTTCAATGGTGAACACATGGAAACACTTTTGTGAAGTGTATCTACTCGTGAGTAAACGTCTTTGCTAAAGAGGTGCGGAAAACTATTGAAAGAATAGCCTATAATGTTTTACATTTCGACGCATATGTCGCGGTGGGCATTTTGAAAACAACAGGAGCTCAGTCAGAGTTACATGTTACACCTTCGATTCAAGCTGTCGATTGAAAAGGTTGTTTATAAGCACAGATTGATGAAAAAGCAATAGGCCTGTATAATTGAAATAAATAAAACGGATAATTTGCAATATATCAGTAACTGTACAACAATAAATTGTGTTCAGCGCGATTTCATTCGTTCTCGTATTTTTCGGTGATAAATTACAACCGATGTCTCAATGCTTTTATTTACTCACCCGATCTGCACCCCGTCGACGTTGAATTTCTTCACCTGTCAAATCGGATGAACAACGCCTTGGGAAACCGATAATTGTGGGCTGATGTGGCATGGCTCTATCACCGGCCTGAACATAGAATATCAGAGCGCTCGATTAGATATGAAAATGTTCCCGGTTGCGTGAATAACAGAACATAAGTTGGAAAAAACTCAGTATTCTGTGCTATTTCAACTGGCCAGATGCAGCACAAATTACAATAGAATAAAAAGGTGGTGAGTGGAGACATAATTGCGAAAAAAATCAGAGTTAAAAAGAGAAAATCAAATGGTGAATGAATGGATGAATGAGTGAACGAATAAATGAACGATGGGGAATTTATGGAGAGAGGTTATGAGAGTTCCATTATAACAACATGCGACAGCTGAAGTATACTCCGATCGATATATATATTCTTCCTATAAACTAACCACTAGATCATTCCAAGATCTTCATTTAGCAAGGTTTCATGTGATCAGATAATATGTATTTGGCTATACGCAAATAGCAAAGTTAATTGCGCTCATTGCATCGAATGTCTGGTAACTTCTTCCTGATTCAGGCATATATCCGCATCGTGAAGATATGATATACAACAAGGGTAAACCTACTGAAAAAATGAGTGTAACTGAATGCCACTAATCAGACTACCATCCGTGTCGTAATTATCCACGTTTCACGTTTTCTTGGTGAAAATGTCATACAATTTTATTAATGTTAGTTATTTTAGTTACTGATAAATTGTAAGTAGGCTAAATACACTCAGGAAAATAATCTTGTGTTCAAATAGAAATGGATGAAAAATAAGGGTCCTGACAGGTCGGATTAGGCACAATGTATTAAACCGCCTAGAAAGGTGTGTAAACGCAGAACTATAAAGTGATGCAATCGGACAATTAGGATTTACTCTTATAAACCTCATGTTTTATACGAAGACAATGTATTCATCCGCTATGTGCATTTGCAATTAAATGATCTGGTAGCTTACCAAACATATCATTTGTCTACAAACGGGTTGCTTTTGTAAAAAAATACTCAGATATCATATATGCAAATGTTTACCAAGTACGATGTTTTGTCAGGCTAATGACCAAGTTTGTGCCTAAATCATGCCCAAATACTGATGGAGGTGATCCACGGAGAAGAAATGCAACTAATCGGAGCAAAACCGAAGTCCCCGGGACGAAACACACAGGCGTAGTGTACGGAAGTAATGGTCGACGGAACGGTCATGACAAACCAAATGAACACGGTAACAACTAAAGTAAAGCACACAATCTACCATAAAAACAATGATTTAATTTTTCCCAACCACAGATGTATCGAATGATGTATCTTTTTCAACGGTTGAATCAAACTGAAAGGAACAGCACAAGGTCAACATCTATCCGAAACTGACGGTGCTGGAGCGAAATATTAAGCGTTCAACGTCCTGCCGCCCAGCAGGGATGTCACTGTATGTGATCGAACGTGCACACGAGTTGACTTCCAATGTGATCAATACACATTTCCTCAAATGATGCATCACAGAATGAATAATTCAAGAGAAGTAGAGGGAATAATAGTACCATTAAATACTTCATAAAAGCTTCTTGAAATATGAATCCTCATTTGAAACAGCCTATGTATAGTATTAGGACATGTTCTGAACTACATACCAAAATCTGCGGGATATATCGCGTGTCTTTTTGAATCATTTTTCGTTTCTGCCATTCACGGAACCAGTTTTGGATGAGGAATGTGGCGTAGAATTTCCCCACTGTGACAACGTCGCTACCTGGAGACAAACAAAAAGGATGTGATAGTTAAGCTGGTGACATACCACGAAACGCCTTAAGGAATACGTGAAACAGGATTCAACGATGCAATTCAGCGATAATTTATGACGCTCTGATTGATAGATGACATTAAACTTCCTGAAACGGATCTTAAGATAAGCCTATGGTTTGACTTCGTGCCTAGCAATGCTAAGAACATGAAGATTAGCAAATAAGCAGGGTTCGAACAAAGGCTCTGGGTAGGATAAGATTGCAGTAAGTTTTATAATATTCTGGTGATCATTCGCCGGACAAGGGGACACCCGAACGGCGTTATTCAATGGTTAATTCACAGAAAAACGTCACTGGTACTACACAATACGATGGAATTGAATCACTACTGTAGATCTGACACATTACTAATATTGAAATGGAGAACAGAGAACAAGGACACGATACATCGCAGTCCGTACCCTTAAGTTTCTCAACACGTGTAAACACTCCATGGTCCTCATTGCCCTGCAAAGTCAAAAGAGGGCATGCCAATTTGACGGTATAAAAAACTCAAACTGAAAAAATCGCCAAATCGGCTAACCAGCTGTTGAGTGGTGGCGGCTTTGCAGCTGAACAAACGGTGTTCACAGGAGTTTTGAAGTTAATCTGAAAGGTTACTTTGAGTGTTTTTCGTTATAAACTTCAAAAATGACGATAAGATCTTTATTTTACTTTTCAATTCTCAAGCCAGCCTAATCCCTACTGAATGAAATATCTCTTTTTTCTAAGAGTTGAAATAGCATAGTTGCAGACTTCGCACTGAGAACGTACGCGTCACTACAGCGTGAAAAATAATTTAAAATGAGGACCAACACAAATGCTTAGAGGAAGCGATGAATGAGAAAAAGCGCACCTTTCGGGGGTATGATCTGATCCAATAGTCGTGGACTAGTCCGCTTCCAAATACGCTTGATCACCGCGCGGAGTTCCTCGTTCAGTTGATCCAGTGATTTATCTTTGTCTTTATCCTCTGCGAATCGATAACATGAGAAAGTTCGATGAAGTTCAGGCATCCGAATACGTGAAAGCTATATCGGATCGTACGAACGGTACAACATGTGATGGGAAAAGAAAAAACCACACTCAACAAAATGGTGACTCACCACCAGGAATTTTGATTTTCAAATTACGTCTGACTAGGGCAAACAGAGTGGCGTTGAAAAATACTGTGCCGTCGCTGTTCAACGGCATGTTCATTCGCACCAATTTCTGCATTAGGGAAAACCGATAAAAAGTGAGGCAAGTTAGTTACACACAGCTGCAAAATACAGTCTGATGAGTCAAGCAAGTAGGTTGTGCATCAGCCGAATCAATCAGCAGATATGCAAAATATCATACATTATTGTTGAGCAGTCAGCCTACAAATACGAAAGACAAGTTGTTAGGAGGGAGAAAACGGGCGAAAGATGATTTGGAACACAAAAAGAAAGTTCCGAGACGATTTGCAAGTCCAAATCGTGCCACACTGACCACTAATCACTTTGTTCGGAGAGGTGGACGGTGCGGTATTGATTATGTTATACGACGATTGATACGCAATCAAACCGTCAATCTTCATGAGATTCCGCCATTTCATGATATCATTATGCGACAAACAGTAGATGGGTCAAGAGGACACATTGTTATGTTATGTGAGGCGGCAACCGGAACACTGAAGAGGAGAAGAGGACTACATGAAACCGCAATGGAAAAATTGGTATGATGATGAGCTGGACGACAGTGCAGCTGCCAACAACCATCTAGAACACGATTTGTGACCCTCGACCAAATTCTTCAGCGGTGAATTGAGTCAGAGTATAGGGCAGCTGGAATGACTGAGCAGAGTTCTATTCAGTTTTCTCAACCATTCTTCTGGAGAATTGGTCTGGGAATTCACCTTATTCGTGGAGGTGTATTCATTCGTCAAATACACTGGCTCTACTAGACGAGCTACACATCCATAACCAAACGAAATTTCCTATACAAGTTCATGCTCGTAAGGTGTAGAGTTCCGGTAAATCCATGCATCAGGGAGTCAAGCATTAACCAGTGGGATCCGGTACTTTCAACACCAGCAATAGATGAGCGCCATATCAAGTGATATTAGTGTATTGCAAGCTGCTGAAAGCCAGCCCAAGTGATTGTTGTCTCGTATCCGGGATTGAGTTCCAGTGGATTCGATGAATTTGCATTGAGTTAAAAACGTATCACAATAAAGTATTCTTTTATTGACTACAGAATCCACGTAATTCAAAACCCTTCCTCATATGGAGAACTGGAGGATTGAACTTCATTTTGTCATTCAGATATCGACCGATCAATGATTGATCACCAGTTATTGTGTATAGCACAAAAATGTGGTTTTATCCTGACGTCTGACAATCACAAGAAAATGAAAATAGTGAAAAGCGATTGTGTTTATGATTATCATCATTGAAACTAAATTAGGTACAAACAGATAACTTACGTGACAAGCACGAGTGTGAGGACACATGCTTCCAAAACCCAAAGGTGGACTGATTTTTCCCAGCATGGTAACCACATCCAGATGTCGAACACGGCCTCTGGCGAAGAGAAGTATAATCGACCGATTTGAAGTGACCGAGAAAACGAGTTGGAGAGCATACAGCTGTTTTCAATGATTCCTAATAGAACTCTTATTGATCACACAGAAAACAAAAATCATTCAGTATGAGAAAACCAATTACTGCTCATTCACGATATCCCAACCGAACCAGGCCACTCATTTTATCTGACCATTCTGTTGATTGGTTCAATCAATTCAACAAGTCAAACAAACTTCAATGTACAATCCCCGGGATATACCCAGTGACTCAACGCACACAGACGAATTCGAACCAAGGGCTTTTGTGTTTACCTTCCCGAAGTACCTCACCCCGTATGTCTGCTCTCCACATGGAGTCCGGATATTCGTCTAATTTTGTTCTTTGTTGTTCTGCCTATCCTCAGCCTCTGATTGGCCTTCAAATGGTTGTTCAAGCTCTCTCTGAGCTCGTCGCAGACCACGTTTCTTTCTGCTGTCCGATTGAACAAGTTACCGTAATTAGCGTTGGGCTATATACTCGAACCACCACCATCATCATGTTCCTGAGATTTTCCGGTGGAAGAGATTTTCTATTTGCCTATTAATCACTTAGCAGACTACCTCCTACATTTGTATTCGCCTCATTCTGAGGTTTGCTAATTATTAGTAAAACTTTGAACTAAAATCCCAATACTTAATGTCTGGTATCTAAATACTGCTTCGCTTTACCACATTTTTAATCAAAGACTGATTTTATGTTGTGTTTTGGTCGTGATTAGTTTGTACCCATTGAACCCGATTTCTTACTTCCTGAAACAGAACCCCCTTTCTGGTCACCGACGATCCACCTGCAGAAGCCAAAAATAATTCTATTGCTACCATTTGATTGGTCATATGTCACTGGTCAATAATTATAGGGATACTGAGTTGCGTGTGTTTGAAGGCCTCCATCAATCACAAAATGGGGGCACATGATACTACGCCTAGTCTAATGCATTCCATTCACCTCATACCCAGCTAGCTTCCACTCTCTTTGGACACGTCGCGCTGTGACACCCTGGATCTCTGCAGAGTCTCTACGCCTTCTTGACGCACGTCGGTCAATTCCGACCGGCAGCGAGCATAATGAAACACGACTCGTAACGAGACGTGAACCTAATGCAAGCCTACGCAGAGACCACGAGATTTAGTGATCTCCACGTGCATCAGAGATGGAACGTGCTGCCGCCATGGGTAATTCCCATAAGCTGTTCCATCTCATCCGGGTCACCGGTAGGAGAGTTATGAGTGTGAGCGAAATGATCTGCGAAGCTGACGGTTCGCCCTTTCATAAGCAACAGTGACGGCTTGCATGCTGGGCGGAGCACTTCAAAGCATTATTTAGCTAGCCACCAGCGTCAGCTTCTCACACAGCTACTCCGACAAACGTCTCATGGTTTGTTTCAACAGACCCACCTTCTAAGGCGGAAATCCATAAGGAGATCCAAGCCTTGGGACATCACAAAGCGCCGGGCTCCCATGGTCTTCCGAAACTCTATTCAAAGGTGGTGGAGAAAAGCTTGTTAGAGAACTACACGTTTTGTTCTCTAAAGTGTGGAACACTGAGCCAGTCCCTCCCTCGTGGGGGGAACCGATTGTTGTCCCCATCTTAAAAAATGGCCCGAGTAGTAACTGCGCCGTTTATAGGGGTTTAAGCCTTATCCCACTAGCGTCAAGGCTGATGGAGTATGTCGTTCTCCGCCGATTGTACACTACGCGCGAGGAGCAGACCCGCGAGGAAAAGGCTGGGTTTCGCACCGGTCGTGGATGCATCGATCAAATTATCACCCTCCGACAGCTGATAGAGCACCGTCATGTTTATCAAAGACCGACGATCATTGTATTCCTAGACATCCACGTGGCCTTCGAATTTGTCAATAGGACCGCACTATGGAACTGTTTGTTGAGTAGAGTTGTATCGTCATACCTCAGGTCGGGTTCGGGCCTATGGCCAACTTTCGCCACCCTTCGCCGTCTCCAGTGGAGTTCGACAAGACTGCCCTATATCCCCGTTCCT